CCTGCCCCCGCCGCCTTTTTCGGGGGGGGGGGGGGTTGGGGGGGCTTACCCCTCCTCCCCAAAGTCCTGTTGCGGAGGGGGGAAATTTTAAATTCCGTGGAAGGGAGGGGCCCCTCCCCTTTCGGGGAGCGGCAGTTAGGTTTTGCAGTCCCCGTGGGGGGGCCCCCCCCCCCCCCCTTTTTCCCCCCCCCCCCCCCACACACACACCCTTCTCCACCCCGCTCATCGGACTCCACGCCGCACCATCCACTGCCCGCCGCCTCCGCCCGCACCCGTCCCGTACCCGCACTGTCCACCCGCACCGTCCTCACCCTCCCGCCGCCGCCAGCTCATCCTCTCCAGCCTCGTCCTGCCTCCGCGCACGCTCGGCAAGCTGCTCACCGTCGTCACCACCCTCGCCGCGGCGTTCAACGTTGCGATGAACCTGCTGCGGCACGGCGACGAGCTCAACGCGGCGATCCTCGCCTGCCACGAGGGGCGCATGCCCTTCCTCCTCCTCGCCGTCGCGGCGGGCGCCCTTCTCGGCGCGGGCCCCTCCATGCCCGCACCCCTGCATTCCGCATGGTGCATTCCGCATCGCGTAAGCCGAGCACACGCAGCACGAAGCTCGTAGCCCATGTCTTCAGGATCCCCACATAGCGCGTGAGTCGAGCCCACTGCACGAAGTTCGTGCCTCGCGCCCGTCTCTTTAGGCCTCCAGCCCGCCAGCTGGTTCCGCGAGAGGAAGCTCTGCCTGCTCGGCCGCCGCTCGCCGCTCCGCGTGAGCGACAAGGGCCTGGCCATCGCGATCTGCACGGCCGCATTCCTCGTCGACTACCTGGCGTGCTCCGCCCGCTCCACCTCGCCCCACAGCGAGGTGCATGGCCGCTTCGTCGCGCTCTTTGCCGCGTCGGCGGTCGCCGGGGCGCGCGGGAGCCGGTGGATCGCCGACAGCCCCACAGGCATCTCCCCGTCGGCCTAGTTTCGCGGCGGGCGCCGCGCCTTGTGCTCGAGCTTGCGCTTGGGCAAGGAGAGAGGGCGCAGAGGACCACTAGGAGCCGTCTCACATGCCCGCAGGACGCATGTCAAGGCACATGCCATGCCCTCTGGGGGGGCGCGGGGGCCTAGAGGGTACTGGGGGGGGGGGGGCATGGGGGGTCCCACAGCCCGCCGCCAGGCGCCAATTTTTGCGATTTTTGCGCGATTTTTTACGTGTTTCCACATTAATCATTATATGGGAATTCGGCGTATAAATTGCGGCCATGCTATCACGCGTTGCGAGTTGCGACAGCACCTGTCGCGTGTCGGCGCTGCTGTGTCGTGACTCGAACGACGAACGTGACTTGTGTGCTGACCGTGCCCTGCGCTGCACAATATTGATCACCTGCATAGCTCGCGGCCTTAGACCCCAGCATTCAGTGACTACTACCTGATCGTACGGCCAGTAGGAAGGTGTCCTTCCAGTAGCTGCGTGAGGCCAGCACGAGACGGTGAGGCCAGAGACGTTGTTTGTTATGGATGTTAATCATTACAAGAAACACTCTGTGTGCCGCCCTCCAAGCCAATGGGTGGCTAAGGGTCTCTGACACTCCTGGATGCATGTACAGTCACAAACGGTGTAGAGGGACTCGTGTCGTGCCAGGGGGCCGGAGGAGTGGCAATGTTCGGAAGCGTCCGAGGCGGTACCGAGCGGTCCCGAGCGGTCCCGAGCCGTCCCGAGCCGTCCCGAGCCGTCCCAACGGCCTAGATGCTAAAATTCGACCGGCGGGGGCGCTTGGGCCAGCTTCAGCTTCTCCCGAGCCGGATCAAGCCATGGGAGTATGGTCTTGGGGACAAGGCTTACGTCGGGCAGCGGCAGATCATCACAGAATGGAAGGGCCGGAACCTGTCCCTCGAGAAACATCAAGACGGTGCAGCACTACCGTGGGCGTGTGGAGCACCTCATTGGCCAGGTAGTGGACAACCGTATGGCTCTGTGCACTACGTGGCGTGGCTCGTTCACCCTGCTTGCCGCGGTCATGAAGATCGCGGCGCACATGGTTGGGCTCCAGGAGCGTATGAAGGGACCTAGGTATGATGTGTTTGGCCCGTGGCCGGTGTGCCCGCCGCACATCGCGGCGCAGTTTCCTTAGTGCTTTGCTGTTTTTGCTGTTAATCTCATGAGTTTACCATTTCTTCTCACTGCACCTCCCCCGCCGCCCGCCGTGCAGCCCATACAGCCGGAGGCGGGCCGCAAATGTCACTGGTTGGGTAGTAGTCTAAGTTCTGAGCCTCGAGGCTGAGTGGGTCTAAGTGTGACTAGTCACGCTGGGGTGCTTACGCGGTCTAAGATCAGCGAGAGCCTCTTACATCGGCTAAGTCGGCCGTGGCACAGCCTGGGGCCAAGAGGCTCCCACCGTGATCAACGATACGGCGCTAGCCCCCAAATTTTCTTCGCCTGCGGCGGGCGCCTTCTAATCCGGATCGATCCTTCTCATGCTCAGCAATCGCCGCCTCAGCATCCTCCTCTTCCGATTCTCGTTGCTCTTCTTGAGCGCAATCTTCAAGCCAAACAGTTCTCACAAATAGCCTCAAGCTCAAACAAACGCATGTCAAGGAAGCCTGTGTATGCTGGTCCTCTTTGAACGATCCGCGCGTGAGGTAGATCTAGCATAGGGCCTTGTTGGCAGCAGCCAGCTTGTTGCGCTGCTTCGTTGCGATGAGCTGATTGGGATCGCAGAAGTGCATGCCAAGCACCGCCACGATCTTGAAGCAGAACACATCGCAACCGCATCGTCCGCACTGCCATCGGCATGCCGCGCCCGCCGCTTCGCCGCAGCCGCCTTAAGACACGCATAGCGGCAGCACATGGTACGGTGCGCGTACTTGAGCAGGAGTTGCGCGCCGCAAGTAGCGCACTGGCCCTGGGACAAGGCGATATGGCGTCGTGCGCGGCATACGTTGGTCGGGACGCGTCCAGGTATTTTTCGGGTAAACCTGGACTTTTGCAGGTATACCCGGGTTTTACCCGGATTTGGCCTTGTGCCGTCTAAGTTCATGGCCCCCGACCATACAGCGTCTAAGTCCGAGCCCGGCTCCGTGCGGGGGCTAAGTTGAGCGCTCGCTCGCTGCAGAGGCTAAGTGTAGAGCGACCCTCTAGCCCTACTACCCAACCATTCAAATGTCCCAGCCGCGCCCCCGAGCGAGGCCGAGCGAGGCCGAGCGGTCCCGAGCGGTCCCGAGTGGTCCCGAGCGGTCCAGAGTGGCCCCAGAGCACCCCAGAGCACCCCAGAGCACCCCAGTGCAGAGCCTACCTGAGAGCCCACGACCGCGCTAGTCTGTAAGAGCTAGGGTGAGAACGTGAGGTGCGTGCCCGGACCCCGGCCGGACGCCGGAGGCCCTGGCTGGCTGGATGGATGGGGAGGGAGGGGCTAGAGTCACACAAAAACACAACCCCGGACCCAAGACGCACAAGCACAGACAGTCGAGAAACAGCAACGACAGTCACTCACAGCCCTGAAATCTCCTTTCGCGCCGCGCGCTCGTCTATTGTTATGAGAGGTTGAGGTGCGTGCCCTGGAGGGTACTGCTACTGGTGTACTGTGGCAAGGGTGGTGGGACGCCCTCAGGAGGCGTGGAGGCCCTCCCTGGCTGGGTGGGTGGGGATGGATGACTGGGAGGGAGGAAGGGGTTACTTACTTGCGGTCTGCGTGCGAGCGGGTGGCTGCTATGCGCGTGATTGCTCCCTCTAATTTCTGGGAACGAAGTCGAAGACGAACCCGGGACGAGCTCGGACGACTACCATCGTTTACCACGACCCTTCCTTCTACCCCAACCCGTCGACCCAGCGTGGCCGTGGGGCGTGTGTGGCAACTCTTCCACGTCTCGCTCACGCCTGAGAAAAAATATGAAACGGCGTGTAGATCATCTCTCAAGTGGAGATGTCCGTTTTCTTATTTATCTACCTTTTAAGATCATCTCACCCACCAACTTGCAACTATCACCTGCTGCGCGGCGTCGAGGCACGAGGGGCCGTCTCGCGCGTCGCGGTGGAGCGTCTCGCAAAAACTCGGATGCCGCCGGCGCCCATCGCCGTCCAAATTCAAATCCTGACTCCGATGGAGGCGAGGAGGGATTCCAGCAAGCCCACCTCGCCCTTCGCCTCTCGCTGGTAGTGCGTGTCCGGGACGAGGAACGCCTGCTGCAGGTCGATGCCCTCGCCAAAGGAGACGCAGCGCCGGACCGTGGGCTGCGGCAACGCCAAGTCGGACGTCGCCGCCGAGCGAGGCACCGTCTCCTGGGGGGGCACGAGCCGCGGGGTGAGGGCGCAGAGGCATCACTCATGCTGCCGCCACACAATGTGAGCGGGCCTCGTCCGCGGTCGTGTCGCCTTCTGTGCGCGCGGCTTCGGCGAGCGCGAGGGCAGCACTTGGACAAGGGGCTGGCAAGTCTCCGCTGCTGTCCGTGAAGAGCGCGCGCAGGGGCGGCTCCTCCTCCTCCGGCGCAGAGTCGGGCAAGGAGAGGCGCCTCTCGGGCGTAGCCGCCTGAAGAAGCAACAGGTGGAGAGCACACGCCCTGAGAGGAGGGGTGGCGTGGGGTGGCGTGGCAGGGGGCCGGCGGTGTGTGCAAGAGTGCAACGCAGAAGCTGGAGGTGCGCTCCCCCCGCCCCGTCCGAGGCGTGCGGCGCTGCTCACCCCGCGCAAGCTGGGTCGGCGAGGCTTCAAGCTTGGCGAGGGCGGGCAGTGCCGGTGCGCGAATGGAGACGGCGCCGCCGCCCTCGGCTTGGCGGTGCTCTGCGACGAAGCGACGCCGTCGTCCGAGGGCATGGCGGCGGCAGAGGGCAAACAGCTCGTGGCCAGGGGCGCGTTGCGCTTGGCGGCCTATGCGCGCGGGTGGCGGCGTGTGGTGCGGACGCCCACGTGTGGCGTCGGGCCCTCTTGGGAGCCGGCTGTCTGCCGGCAAGCACAGCATCGACAGGTCGGGCATCTCGTCGTCAGAGTCGCCCGCCGCCTCGGGCCGCGTGCCGTGCAAGGCAGCGAGGCCTTCGCGCACCCGCGGCGCGAGGGGCGGGCGGACGAAGGAGTCGACCCTCGAGTCGCATCCGGCGGCGGCGCCGCTGGCGGAGGAGGCGTGCGAGGACGCCGACGGCGCATCGAGCACCGCATGCAGGTCGGCCGCCGCCCGCTCCAGCACGCTTGGAAAGTCCATCGGCGTCGGCCGCCGCAGCGTGGACCAGAGGCGCGCCATGTGCAGGACGAGTTCCGCCTGCAGCGCCTGCAGCGGCGCGAGCCCGCCGCGAGAGAGCAAGTCTTGCTGCGTGCGCGGTGTAGCGACGCGGCGAGAGCCCGCTCGCAGGTTGGGGTTGAGGTCGAAGTACGCCTGTGTTGGGGTGGAGCGGCCTGGGGTTGGGCGGAGCTGTGGTACGGAGGTTGGGATTGTGGCACGCCTGGAGCACGCCCGTCGCGTTGATCGAGGCCACCGCGACGGGAAAGCCCGTGGTCGCGAGTGGTGCCATGCCCGACTTAACGAGGTCGAGGAGGTGCTCGAGCCCCATCAGGCCAGGCCCTCGGAAATCGGTCGTTGGATCGTCACCTTGAAAGCCGAGCAGGCGCCACCGAGGTGAGCACGCCAGAAAGTCGTCCTTGCCAAAGCTCAGACGCCAGAGGTCTCGCAGCAGCGGCTCGTTTGTGGCTGGGTCGTACACGGTGGTGGCGCTCAGCCGCAGGGTCGCGAGGGTCGCAAGCCTCGTCGCTGTGTCCTCTTTCCTGAGGCGGAGGTTGTTGTCGCACACCGAGGTGGGGGAGAGGTCATTGAAACTGGCACTGCGGCGTGGCACAGGCGGCATTGTTGTGTCCGGGACAACGAGAGCACTTTGAGGCGCCGAGAAGAGAGAAGACTCTCAAGTCTATGACGGGGCTCGAGGTCGTGAAGGTGGATCTCGTGGTGGTGTGCCTGTCTACCCCGACAGAATTCTTTTTTTGGTTAATCGAGGGTGTGACATCGGCTCAACGATGACCTGCGACGCGAACACAGTGATCCTGGCGGACGACACGGACGAGTCTCCCTTGGGTCGCTACCTCTGGCGGCTCCTGCGCCAGGTGGACGGCAACGACGACATGCTGCTCGACCCGTGCGAGCTGTGGGCGGCCATTGAGGTGGAGGTCTCACGCAACTTCGGCTCCGCCTCCTCGAGAGCGGAGCGCTTTGTCATCGACTCGCTCCTCTCTTCGGGCGTCAGCTGGGGCAGGATCGCGGTGCTGGCTGTGCTGGTCCTTGCAACGGTGGGCAGTCGAGTGGTGGCGCGCGGCGCTCCTCGCTTGGTTCGAGCGCGCGCCCACCACTCGACTGCCCGGGTTGTGCCTGCAGGTTGCGGCGGCGCGCGCGGGCGACGACCTGCTGCGCGGCGAGGCGGCGGCGGCGCGGGCGGCGGAGACGGCGGCGATGCAGCAGGCAGAGGAGGCACAGCTTGTACGCGAGCTCCCCCAAGCGCCGCGCACACCGCTCCTCCCGCCGTGCTTTTAGAGCTCCAGCGAGGCGCCGAGAAAGAGAAAGACTCTCAAGTTTATGACGTAGCCCGATACCACAATCGTCCGGCCCGCTGGGTGCGCTTCATATAGCTCCCCGGCCATGGATGTGCGCGGTCGTATAATGACTGAGGACTGGACGCGACCCGCTACGGCCTGCCTGCGCTGCGCGCGCTGGTGCGGAGGGGGGAGGGTGGCGAGCAGGTGGCGAAGGTGGGAGCTGGCCTGCACCTCTACTAATATGGCAAAGGAAATGCGAAATGGGACTCCAAGGTCACCTCCGCCCCTTTAATTTTCAGGACAGAATCTAGATCCAATGTATGAGTCTCAGTGCGTCAGTCACGTCTCACCGAACTCACAACGCACGTGAGTCGTGACGAGGTGCAGGCGGCGCCCATTCTCGTATGCACATGAAACAGTCGCTGGATCGGCGTTCTCGAGAGTCGGGGCACTGGGGCACCACGTAGACGTGGGGACCCGCGAGCACTTCACGCAAAGAAGGGCGGCGGCACGCGGAGCGGCGGCCCCGCGAGGCGCAGGCGCCGGCCGGGCGGCAAGGATGTCTTGGCCGACCGCCGCCTTCGGACGGCGTCGGCCGACCGGAAGCGGCGTGGCGCTGCGAGGCCGGCGAGCGGGCGGGCGGGCGGGCCGGCCGCGGGAGCCGCCCCCTCGGCCGGGGCCCCGCCTGGCGTCGGTCCCGCCGGTGGAGGCGAGGGCGGGTGCGCCTCAGCCGCCTCCGGGCGGGGCTCCGCTGCAGCACCTCGCCGCTGCTTCGCCCGGCTCGTGTCGGGAGAAGGGACCTCTCCCTCCTCCTCAAGGACGCGGCGCTGGGAGAGAACGCTGTCGAGCCCCGCGCCGGCCGCCCCGCCCCGCCGTTTGCCGCAGACGCCACCGCCACCGCCACTGCCGCCTCCTTCTCTCTCGCCACCACCGCCACCACCGCCGCCGCCGTCGTCGCCAACGTCGGCAGGACCACAAACGTCACAACCTTCGCCGCCGCCGCCCTCCCAGCCGCCGCCGCCCTCCCAGCCGCCGCCGCCCTCCCAGCCGCCGCCGCCCTCCCAGCCGCCGCCGCCCTCCCAGCCGCCGCCGCCCTCCCAGCCGCCGCCGTCGCCGCCCCAACCCGCGCCGCCCCGCGCACCCGCCGCCGCGCGGTCTGCAGGGTGCGCGGCGTCTGCCCGCCCCGGGCGCGACTCGCAAACGGCGGCCACGCCCGGCGGCGGAGCTGCTCTCCCCGCGGCGCGGCGGTCCGGCAGCGGCGGCGGCGGCTCGCCCAGCCCGACCAGCCGCCCCATCGCCTCGACGAGGAGGCGCGACCGGCCGCGGCTCGCCCACCGCCCGCTCGCCTATGGGACATGTCCTAGAGGTGTCCTGGACATGTCCTGCACATGTCCGCGGCTCGCCCACCGCCCGCTCGCCTATGGAACATGTCCTAGAGGTGTCCTGGACATGTCCTGCACATGTCCGCGGCTCGCCCACCGCCCGCTCGCCGCTGCGGGCCGCGCCTGGCCGACGGTCCAGCGGTCGAGGGAGAGGCGGCGCGGCGGGGCGTCCCCCTCCTTGAGCGCCCACCGCTGCGCGCGATCCCGCTCGGGGGTCGACGGCGGCGAGACGAGGGCCGCGCCGTCGGCCGAGGCGGCGGCGCGCCCCCTGCCCCGGGCCACAGCAGGCTCCGCAGAGGCGGGCGACGGGGGCTCGTCGGGCGGCGGGGCGAGGCGCCGCTGGTCGCCGCGGGTGGGCAGGCCGGGCGGGAGGAGCGGGCGCGTCTGGACGAGCTGCACGGCGGCGGCCTGCGCGAGGGCGCGCTTCATGATGGACGCGTTTGCGAGCGAGCGCTCGTAGACCTCCTCCTCGACGCCGCGAGTGACGAGCATGACGACGCGGCCGGCGTTGCGGCGGCCGGTGCGGCCGAAGCGCTGCGTCTGGCGGATGGCGGAGGAGGAGACGTCGTAGCAGATGATCAGGTCCACCTCCCCGATGTCGAGCCCCTCCTCGCCTGTTCACAGCAGCAGGTGTGAAGAGACGCTGTTCACACCTCCCCGATGTCGAGCCCCTCCTCGCCGATGGAGGTCGCGACGAGGACGTTGTAGTTTCCCTGCCGGAAGGCGCGCACAACCTCGCGCTGCTGCGCCTGCGAGAGGCCCTTGCGAGTCTCGTCGCTGCCCTTGGCGCTCGCCTGGCCGACGAAGCGGAAGGCGCGCACGCCCTCCACCTTTGCGAGATGCGCCGTCAGCTCGACCACCGAGTCGCGCAGCGAAGTGAAGACCATCACGCGAGAGCCGGCCGGGTGCGCACCAAAGTGGTGCGAGAGCAGCGCGGCGGTGGCGGAGAGCTTGGGGTGAGAGCCCGCGGCCTCGCCCTCCGCGAGCTTGGAGAGCATCTCGTGGTACACCTCCGACTGGTACAGCTCCTGCGGCGCGGGCGGCGGGCGGCGGCTCAGGGCGAGGGGGGGGGAGGGGAGGGAGGGGGGGGGAGGGGGAGAGGGGGAGGGGGAGGGGCTGCGTGGCGGTCTCGCGCGCGCCTCTCGCAGCTGGAGGCCCATCTTGCGCCTCCCGCCGCCCTCGCGCAGCAGCCGCCACTCCTCCATGTCGCGCCTAGAGGGAGGTTCCGAGACGGCTCCGACAAGGCTCCGACAAGGCTCCGAGCAGCCGCCGCTCCTCCGCCGGAAGTGGGCGATCGCCGACGAGCACCCGTGCGACGACGCGAGCTCGACGCCCTGCGCGACCATCATCGCCACCGTGAGGTGCGCCTGCGCGCGGTAGACGTGGTGCTGCTCCATGCCGGCGGGCGGCGCGGCGGCGAGCTCCTTCTGCTTGGTGAGCAGCGAGTAGCGGCGCACCTTGGTTGGGTCGTCCCCCACCCCGACGCCGCTCTCGCGCAGCTTGCGGAGAAGGGCGCGGTAGGCTTCGAGCGCCGCGGCCCGCCCCGCCAGGTACTCGGCCGTCGGCTGCACCACCACCTTGTCCATCTGACGCGACTTGAGGCAGCCGACCACGTCGACCGACTGCTCGTCGCGCGCCTCGATGCGCGAGATGCGCAGGTTGCTCACCACCTCCTGCATCCGCTCCGCGTTGGAGCCCGGCGTGGCGGAGAGCGCGAGCACGCGGAAGCCGGCCGAGCGGCGGCCGAGCAGCCGCGCCGCCTGCACGTACGAGTGGTTGCTGGTCGCCTTGTGCGCCTCGTCGACCACGAGGCACACCACGTCCTCGCCCGGGCAGACGCCCGTCTTGAGGTCGTTGACGAACGTCTGCGCCGTCAGGAAGAGGAAGCGCGCAAAGCGCCACACCCTCCGCCGGTCCTCTGCCGCCATCTGCCCCGTCAGCTCGGCGCAGAGCTCGCGCGGCAGGCCGACCGACTTGCGGACGGCGCCCACCTGCTGGTGCACGAGCGGCTTGGTCGGCGCGAGAAAGACGCACCGGCCGGCGGGGAACCAGCGCGAGAAGTTGTACATCACCGCCGCCGCGATGAGCGTCTTGCCCATCCCGGTCGGCAGGCAGACCAGCGTGTTGTGCAGCAGCGCCGTCTTTGTGATCGAGTGCTGGTACGGACGAACCGGCATGTTGGTCGGGTACACCCAGCTCGCGGCGGCTGCCTCGTCCACGGGGACCGGAGGGGGAAGATCTGCACCGTCCGCGTCGTCCGCCGGGATCTCGGCTGCGTCCTCCGGCCCGATGCCAAGGCACTCCAAACGACCAGCACGCACGGCGGCTGCCAGCGGCTGGCCGCCACTGCGCACTGGACCGGAGCTGGCCGCGTGCGGCTGTCGCCGCGGCTGATGGGAAGGACCTGCTCCGACCGCCGGACCCGGCGGCGGAGGCGGCCGGGCGGTGGTGCTCGCGGTGGCCGCTCCAGGGAAGAAGGAGCGGATGTCCCTGGCGGGCTGACGCTCGGCCAGAGCCTCCATTTCGAACTGGTTGCGTTTTCTTTTTAGGAAAGGTCGAAAGAATTCTGAAAATACAAGCCTCTATACGTCGGAAAGAAATCCGGCCACGCGGGGGGGGGCGCCTAGCCCTCCTCCTCGAGGCTCTCCTCCAGCAGGGCTCTCTCCCTCGCGCGCAGCGCGTCGCGCAGCGCCTGCGGCAGCTCCTCCTCCGTGTTGTCCTCCAGCGCCAGCTCGGGCTCGTCCTGGTACCGCTCGTCCACGTCTTGAGGGATGGTCGCCGTCAGCGCGCGCGCCATGCGCTGCTCCATCGCCTCGGCGCGCTCCTCGCTCGCCTCGATCTGGCGGATCATCGAGCGCGCCAGCTTCTTCACCTCGCTGCTCTCCGCCAGGGCAGAGTAGTCCGAGACGGGTCTGCGCAGGATCGACTCCAAGTCGGTCGTGGCTGCCTGGAGGCGGTGGGTGAAGGAGGCGGAGTCGGGTGGAGGAGAGGAGTGGGGCGGAGGGGTGGGAAGCGCGGGGCGGAGGAGTGGAGGGCAGAGGAGTGGAGAGGAGTGGAAAGGAGAGGGGCACGGCGTCAGCGCCTCCGGGCCCCCAGGGTGTGCTGCCCCCCCCCCCCGTCCCTAGGGCCAGCCCGGGCGGCGCGACGTACCTCCACCTCTCCCAGGTGCCAGTTGGCGAGCGCGCGGCGGTAGAGCGACTTTGTGTCCTCGGGGCAGATGCCGAGCACCGTGTCGCACGACTGCAAACAGACGGTCCAGTCGCGCGTCTTGATGGCGGCGGCGGCGACATTCTTGCGCACCGCGACGTGCACCTGCGGCAGGGCGCAGCGCGTCGGCGCGGGGCAGGCGGCACCTCGCGCAACGGCGGCGGAGACGGCGGCATCAGCGCGCCTCGTCGAGCAGCTTTTGGTCCTGAGCGTTTGTGGCCTGGTAGAGCTCAAACCCGACGCAGCCCTGCATGTACATCTCGAGCGCCTCCTTGTACTTGCCCTGCCGGAACTTGTGGTTCCCGTTCACGCGCAGCTGCGCGCCCGACTGGATGATGGGCAGCATCTGCGTTGCGGGCAGCACGCCGCGCTCCTTTTTGGGCGCCTTTTTGACCTTGTCCTCGGCGCACATGCCGACATTGTGGAACCACTCCATCTCGATGCGCTTGGCGTTCTCGGGATCGTTGCGCAGCTCGTCGCGCATCCGCTCCAGCATCCCCATCAGCGCGGGGTCGCGCACAGCGTGCACGAAGGAGGTGCCTGCCTTGCGGGTCTCCTTTAGCGTCGCAAAGAGAAGGTTTTGCACCATCTTGAGCCGAAGGATGGGGTAGACGACGCGCTGCGCCTCTGGTGGCAGGTCCTGCAGCGCCACCGCAAGCTGTTCCCGCTGGCCCTGCAGCTCCTCCAGCTTCTCCATCTCCTCCATCTTCCGCATCACCGCGATCTCCTTTGCCTGATCCTTCCGGATGGCGTCCTGCGTCTCGGGCTCCTGGAGGAACTCGCGAAACTTGTTCTCGAACCCACTGTTCGCGCCATTGACCGACACCATCGCGCGAAGGCCGCGAACCACTCGGGAGAGTGCGACTGCGCAAACCAGACCACGCTTTTGGAGGAGAGCCGCGATGCGTTAGGGTGTATGAAGAAACACGAACCCCTGTTTCACTGCAGGTAGCAGGAAAACTGTCCTCCCATCCCTCCCTTGGGTTGCCTGTTTTCTTTCTTTTTTTAGCAGGAAAACTGGCAGGCGGCGGCGTCGCAGGACGAGGCAGAAGAGAACGACGCGACAGAGGGGGAAGTGACAAGGGAGAGAACGACGAGAGTGGGACAGCCGCGAGGTGGCATGAAGGTTGCAGCGAGAAGCGGCGAGAGACTGCGAAAAGAGATACGAGGAGGCAGACCCCCCAGGGTGGGTGACGGCTAGCGCATCACACCCTCCTCTCCTTAAAATCCCTGTGTGGTGGCGGCGTGCCGTTCTCCCATCCCTCCCTTGGGTTGTGTGACTTTTCTTTCTTTCTTTCTTTAGCAGGAAAACTGGTAAATGCAAAACGTGCAAATTTGTTCGATCGTAACGTGCTTAGGTACCGCACAGAGATATCTCGACCATCAAGTTATCCGCGCAGGGAGAGTGCGCTCGCTGCCACGCTGGGCCCTGGCGAGGTACTCCCACGCCTCTCGGGGTTTTTGTCTGGCCGAGTCAACCCGAGACTCGGCGAGACTGCGTCAGCTGTTCCCACAGCAGGCTGGAAGTACCTCGCCAGGCTGGGCCCACCTCTCCGCCGTCATCCTGAGCCCAGTCCTGGCTGCCACCTCTGGATACCAATGCACGTTCCCTACAAGCATATCCTGTCCTCGCGCAAGTGGTCCGATGACGGCCGCTTGGTGCCCTCGAGGCGAATCAGGGCAATCACAATGTCGCCCCCGGGCGCCACAGCGTGCAGCGCGGCCGCAGCTTGCTCCACACTCATGACCGGCACACCATTCACCTCGGTGATTGTGTCGCCAGGTCGGACAACAGCAGAGCGGGCGGAGGAGCCGACGGCAACACCGCCACAGGGCAGGCTGTGCAGTGACAAGCCCAGCGGGCCACGGTCCTTGACAAGCGTGCACGTAAGCTCGAGCGCTCTGGCCCGCCGTGCGGCGCGGCGGCCGGGGGGTGAGATGCGACTCGCAAGGCGTTCCGAGCCTTCCGCTATGATCTGGCGGAGACCGAGGAGGGGAGCTCCTCGGCCGGGGCTGCTGCAGTCCTGCGACTCCTCGGAGTCGTCCACGGAGGCCCCCAGTGTCTCAATGCTGCTCACTTTGGACTGAAGCCAGCGCCGTGCGTTTGCTCTTGCCGACGTGTCCCACCGGTCGCTTTCGGACGCCGCGAGTTCTGAGCGCTCCGCCGACCCAGCGGCGAGGGCTTCGGCCTTGGCCGCCACAACACTGTCAGTCATGGGCGCGCGCTGTACAGTGTCACAGGCCGGCATACACACATGCGTGTGATGCGACCGGATTTGCCGGGGCCAACTTTGGAATTTCGTGTACGAATTCTCGAGAATTCGCAAAAGAAAACCAATCACGAGAAAAGTGTAGGGATGTTGTTAGCAAATCAGGAAAGGGACAGAAGAAAAAGAAATTTCCGTGCCGCCGCCGCGAGAGCGAGGGCATCTGTCGGGCGCGCAGCGAGGATATCCCTGCACCGACCCACTCCTCGCATGCGCTTGATATTGTTGCTGCTGTCAGCGGCGTGCACCGACGGCCTCCGTGCGGTGCATCCGCTCGGCCGCGCAGCGGCAACAGTGGGTGCTGCGCGCGCGGCGCCCATGATGCCGATTGGGGTGCCAAAGGTGCACTCCTCCCCTAGCATTCCGCGGCTGCGCCCCGCCGGCTGCGCCCCGCCGCCGGCACGCCGCAGGCTCGCGCCAGCCCCTCCGCCGAGGCGTGCTCCGGACGCCCCGCGCAGGTTGCGTACCGCGCACCCGGCGCGATGACCGCCGACTGGGTCGACCTGTACAACCGGCTCTACCGCGAGCGGATCCTCTTTCTGGGCCAGCAGATCGACGACGAGCTGACCAACCAGCTCATCGGTGTCATGCTCTACCTCGACTCGGAGGACGCGAGCAAGCCCATGTCAATGTACATCAACTCGCCGGGAGGCTCCGTCACGTCAGGCTTTGCAATCTTCGACACGATGCGGCACGTCAAGTGCGACATCTCGACGATCAATATCGGCCTCGCCGCCTCGATGGGCTCGCTCCTGCTGGTGGGCGGCACCAAGGGCAAGCGGCTCGCGCTGCAGCACTCGCGCACCATGATCCACCAGCCAGGGACAGGCCAGTCGGCCATCCAAGGACAGGCGCGCTGGGGGGCGGCTTGGAGGGGGGCGCAGCCGCGAGGGGCCGACCCACCCGCCCCTTGCGCAGGCGTCGGACATCAAGGTGGAGGCGGAGCGCGTCCTCGCCATCCGCGAGAAGGTGGTCGACTACTACGCCACCCTCACGGGCAACTCAAAGGACAAGGTGCCGCCGCCGCCTCGCGCTGCCGCCCGCCACCCGCTGCGCCGCCACAGGCTCTCACCCCTCCCCCTCCCTCTCCCTGCGTACCCACTCCAGGTGCGGCTCGACCTCGACCGCGACAACTTCTTCTCGGCGCAGGAGGCACTCGAGTACGGCATGATTGACCGGGTTATCACGCCGCGCGAAGTGCAGCTTTGAGCGGGGTGAGAGGGACGACTCTGTTTGGCCTATCTTGACTCACACACTTCATTGTACATCTCTCTTTGAAGATTTTTTTACTGCATGCTGCAATTATTAGTAGAATTACAATACGATGTGTATGTGCGAGTGCGTGCGCGCGGGCGCCCGCGCCGCCTCGCGCCGGCCTCGGGCTCGCATCGAAGCAACACACACGGGCACGCCTCGTCGGCGGCGCGGGTTGCGCGGCTCCCTGTACGGCTGCGTGGACCGTGGTGCACATCTCGATTCTCGACGAGCTCCCAGGCCCCGAGAGGGTGGAGAGGAGAGGTCCGCTCCCCTCGCTCTCCGCAGCGGGCTCTCTCGGCATGGCCATGTTCTGGTCTGCCCTCTCTGCCGCGCATGCCGTCGTGCCGCGTTGGCTCCGGTGCGAGGCGCGCCGCGCCCTCACCTCCTCTCCTCCTTGCGCGTGTCGTAGTACGCGTTGGTCGGCACCTTGTTCTCGAAGGGCTCTTCCGACGCAAAGCACTGCCTCCACCAGGTGCGGGAGGCGTCGCGCACGTTGCCCGCCTCGAGCCGGTGCCACTTGACGAGGTGGAAGACGAGGCAGCGCCGGTCCTGCAGCTCCCACACCGAGGACTGGTCGTCCGCGTTCGAGCCCACGTAGATGCGCATGTGCAGCTCTTCGTCGAGCAGCGGCGCCGCAGAGCCGACAGACACGCGGAGGTGCGAGGGCCGCATCTCGACGCGGAGGTCGCGCGCGGGCGTGCCCTCGGGCACCCGCACCTCGAGGTACACCATCGAGGTCGTCTGCCGCCAGCAGTACGCCTCCGCCTTCCGGCCAAGGCACTCCTCCGCGAGCCGCGCGCCGTCGACGTCCGACCAGAGCGCCGGCAGGGTGCGGATGCGCGGCGGCTCGTACTTGGGCTTGATCACCTCGCCCATCAGGTTGGTCATCGGCGGCTCCGCCTCCTCGTTCGGACCGTCGTTGCCCGCCTCGTAGTCGGGGAGCGGCTTGTCGTTTGCGTTGAGCCAGAACGGGTCGCGTGAGGGCGGAGTGCACTCGCCGTCGATGTGGCGGTAGAGGTTCCAGTCGTTGACCATCACGTCGTGGCCGCGCCGCGCGAGCCAGGAGCGCCACTTGACCTCGTTCTCCGTCCACCCGCGCTTGCGGATCGACTCGCGCGCCTCGCGCAGCTGCTCCTCATCCCGCTTCTTCTCGCGCTCCTTCCGAGTGAGCTTGCGGCCGCCCGCGCCGGGCTTGCCGGAGGTCTCCTCCGCGTCTCGCAGCTCGTCAAAGGCGTGCCACGACGGATCGTCCTCCGCGGGACCGTCGTCCACGTCGTCCCACCCGCAACTAAACCCACCACCACTGGCGCCAGCCGGCGCAGGCGCACCACCGCCCGCGACTGCGCGGAGCGCGGTCCAGCGAGCGCTTCCGGCGAGCGGCGACTCCTCCCAGCGCACGTTTTGCAGCTCGCCGCGGTAATGCACGAACTCGTCGACGGAGCTGCCACATGCCATCGCGGCAATGGCGGGTCTGGCCCACTAGGCGGAGCAGGCGGAGCTGGAATCGCGGCGGTTTCTTTTGGTGAGCCGGTGTGTGTGCAAGTCAGAGCGAGTCCGCGCCCTTGTCGTGCCAGTGTGCTGTGAGAGAGGCTTGTATGTTAAGAATTCTTTTGCCCATAAACAGCGGCCGCTCGTACTCCGAGGGCCCAGAGCGGTGGTTGAGGGGTTGAGGGTTGAGGGGCCCCCTGAAATCTGGTTGACGGTTGAGACCCCCCGTCAACCCTTTCGTTGGGGGGTGAGGCCTCCGGGGCCTATTCGCAGGCTCGCGCCGTGATTGATCACTATTAAGATAAACTAGAGGGCCCCTGCGCGGGCCCCGCCCCCCCCTCGAGGGGGGCGGGGCCCTTGCGACGGAGAAGAGGCCAGAATTGTACAGCAGCAGACGACGGACAACGAAGCAGTAGAGGCTTGCTAGGAAAATTGTAAGGCCGCCGTCAGCCGGGTTTAGATGTGTCTTTTTCGCGGGGAGGTGCCTTAGTGCCAGGTGCACCACACATGTCTATGAGGTGTAATAAGCAAGACAGCAGCAGACAACGCGTCGCCACACACACAGAAGCACGCATATACTATGATACTCTCTCTCCTCTCTGTCTAGCGCCGACGCCTAGTCGGAGGGCAACCAAGACGCGTCGCTGTCCTCGTCGGAGGCGCCGCCGACATCGGAGTCGACACGCCACTGCACACGATAGGCGTAGAAGTCGCAGGGACTGACGGACTGCTTGCTGCCAGAGTGCCAGTCTTGGTCATCCCGATCTTCCATCCGTCGTCGCCAGCTGGATGGAGGATGACGAAGTGAAGTGGGTCGTACCCTCGATGTGTCTCGTTGATTGTCTTGAGCGCGCCCCCCCGCATCTTGACCACGATATCTCGGCCATTCTCATCGGCGTCGGGCTTGAGAACAGCCACCTCGGCGTAATCTTGGCGGCCGTAGGTTTTGTCACTGGGCGCGTTGTACCTCCGAGGGTGCGAGGTAGCAGGACCGTCGCCGGGAGGGGGCGGAGGACGAGCGTCGTGGCCTTCGTCTCGTTGCCGCCCGTACGCTCGTACGCCTACGAGGAGGACGCGAAATAATAAGTCAATATGGTTCATTTGCAGCGCGGCACACGCAGCACGGCGCTTACCTTGACAAAGTCTTGGACGTACGGGTTGTGCTCGGTGATCGCCTTTTGCATGATCTCGAGGCATTCACGGACACGTTCCTTCTCGGCTTGAGACGTATCGGCTGGCAGGTAGATCGCGCCCATTCGATAGTCGATCTGTTGGCACTCGCTCATGGACGGGTCATTGATGTACGTCTGAACGAATTGTTTCGACTGGTTGTCATTCGGAGCGAGGGACCCGATGAAGTGGTGGACTCTGCCCTGGATCACGACGGTCGGACTCCAGTTGCTTGAGCCCGGAAGATTGTTCGGCCGCTTGACCTTTTGCGAGGCGAATGCTAGCGTGTTGTTGATGGCGCGGGCAAACTTCCGAAGTGTCTTGCCGATGACGCCATCAGCATCGTGCCACAATTTGGTGACTTCCGGACAGGGCGTGCAGATGGGCGGGAGCGAGACCTTGGCCTTCTTGCAGCATAATGGAGCCGTAAGTAGGGTTGGACGAGGTGACCTCGCCCGGAAGCAGCTCAGCGCCACAGCCAGCGCACGTGGTGGAGGTGCTCTGCTCTTCCTTTGTGAGAGCGAGCCTACGGTATGAAGAAAGTAGCACGTGATAGGATCGCGCAGAGTGCGGCCGCGTCGGCGTGCGGGCGCACTTGCCAACATCGCTCCCCTCAACCAGCAGCGAGCCGTTGAGTATTTCAGAGGCGCGGCGGGCGGGGCGAGCGGCAGCCTGCCTCGCCCTTTTGGTCAGCCGACGCCCCTGCGCGTCGAGCCTGTCCTTGTCGCGCTGCTCGGGGCTCTCTCGCTTCCTCTGCGCTCGAGACTGGTTTGCGGCCTGGCTGAGCTCGGTCGGATGCATGTTTGGTTTGCGGACGCGATTGAAGAAGAGCCGGCTCTTCGCCTGACCGAGCGTCTCCCCTGGCTTGTCCCTGACTCGCTCCTCGGCGTCGGCCGTGAGGGACACGCCCTGCTCGGCAAAGTACTGGTCCTCCATGTATTGTGCCCACCCAGCCGTGTCGCCAGCAAAGGTGTCGAGGTACTCCTTCCTCGTGAGGATGTGGCGGCCGCGGATGACGGTGCGGCTGAAGGGGACGGTTGCCGTGCCGCCGACGGACGGCAGGCAACCGAGGACTACAGCAAAAAGGAGAAGCCCGCACGCCATCCCGCAGTTCGTACTCAGCTGCCCAAACCACCCAACAGACGGACCGCGGCGGAGTTGCGGCGGCGGAGACACAGCGAGAGGCTGGTTGGCGAGGCGTTCCTTCTCCTGCTGACGGCGACGCGACCGCACAGAGACCTTCCTCGTCGCGCCGTCCTGGCCGCGGGCCGTCATCTCCGCCCTGTCTGGTCCACGGTGGTGCGGCGATGTGCTGCGACGGGCTCCACGCGGCGGTTTTAGCGAAGTTCTACCGGACGATTCTGCAGCCTTTATATTGGACTAGACTCGAGGGGGGCGGGGCCCTTGCGACGGAGAAGAGGCCAGAATCGTACAGCAGCAGACGACGGACAACGAAGCAGTAGAGGCTTGCTAGGAAAATTGTAAGGCCGCCGTCAGCCGGGTTTAGATGTTTCTTTTTCGCGGGGAGGTGCCTTAGTGCCAGGTGCACCACATGTCTATGGAGGAGAGCGGCCCATCGAGGGGAGGGGAAAGGGAGGGCAGGAGGCGATTCCCCTTGCGGAAGAAGCGGCGGGCACGCAACCAGAGGGAGGCCGGGCGGGTCGGGGGGGAGGCTGTCTGAAGAGGTCCGTGTGTGGGTATGTGGGAACGGATGGCCTGGGCAGACTCCGGTCTTTGTGTGTGTAATACGTCTACGAGTTGCTATGACTGCGTTGTCCTCGACTATCTGAGCCCCCCCTCCTTCCGCCTCAATTTCCCCCCCCCCCCCCCTCCCCGCACTCCCCTTCCTCTTCTCCCTCTCCGTCCCAGCTCCACTCTTCCCTCTCCCGCTATCTCCTGCAGGTGCAGGGGCGAAACAAAATGAAAATTGATGGGCTTGCCCACATCCCGGAGTGGTTCGACTCCACACAAACCCGAGACGGTGATGGGAGGCGTCGTGTTATGATCTCAGGCCTAGTGAGGTAGTGCATCTGACTATCCCGGATCCTGCTGAACAAGCTCCTCTTGTAGCTCGATCGGTCACACCGCCATCGCCGTCGAGGAGAGGGAGGGGGGACGACACTGCTTCGGCAGCGTGCACCTCGATCCTGCACCGTGTTTGTTATGACCCCCCCCAATGAACACACCAGCGAGGGAGGGCGAGACGATCGAGGGGTCCCGTACCATGCGGAATCGACCCTATCCAGTGCTCAAGTGCTCAAGTCATGACGTGAACTCTCCATAGTCTCTAGGCTTGGAACTTCTTTCTGCTGCGGTTGTAACGTTCTTGCACATGATGCATATCTTGTGCAGTTTGTGTGCTGGGCTCAACACGAATT